CTCACCGCTCCAGGGTCAGAAACCGCCTGCCACGCCGCGGTGACTGCTCGCGGGTACGGACCGGCGTGGCCGTGCCCACTGAGATGCACACTCACTGCTCCAGGGTCAGAAACCACCTGCCACGCCGCGGTGACTGCTCGCGGACGTGCTGCTCTGTGCTCCCATCAAACACCAGCCAGCTGACAAGGGTCACCTTCTGCACCTGCCAACCTCCACTGGCACCAGACCATGCTGCCAATCACAGACGGATGTCTACTACCAACATGCCTCTAGCTACAGCTACATAAGAACACCAGACAACTCTTTTGTCTGTAAAACTCAACTCCTGTAACAACACTCAACCGAATCTAGGGGAAGGGCTGGTCAACCCCTCCCCACCGAGCGTCAGTAGCACTCGAGAGGCAGACACTCCAGTCACTGAGGCCTTGCAGCCAAAGCACTGCTGGCAGGGTGTGCCATCAGACACGTGCATGACGGCCACCTCCCCTTCTCTCTGCAACACTGATGCTGGTGCACCACTGGTGTCCTGATGGAGCCTCTTTTCCTCCACGGTCACCCCACATGAATGCATCCTAACCCAGATAAAGATGCCACACAACACCCAAGCCGTAAGGGCACCATCCACGGGCCGTGCTATGCTGCCTCGGACAGCCTGCCTTTACTGACAGTGGTGCCCTAAGGTGCGTAAGGCTGTTCTAAGCCAATGGTTCTTCGTGTGTTCTTTTACTACTCGTTTCAGCCTAGGGCAGGTTTAAAGCAAGGACTGCACACCAAGAGCCCGCTCTGCTCTCGTCTGCAGTCACCACGTTACACCACGCAGACGACTCAGCTTCCAGGGTGATGAAACAGGGAGGAAGTGACGTCAGCCAGAGACTGAGCGACGGGACAGTGTCCCCACAGCCAAGCACACTGCTTAGCCACTGCTTACCACATGGCACGAGTATCTGTCCTCCACGGGTCAGAAGCCTAACACCACACCTAGCCCTGTTCTCCACAGGGTCTGGCCAGCACTGCGGCAGGGGGTGCACTGTCCGCCGGTCTCTGGCCCTCTGGGGGACCTGCTGCCTGTGAGCCGACTGACAGGCTCTGAGGAGTCTTCAGCAGGTGTGAGCCCTGACCAGGCCCGCCCTTTCATGAACAGAGACTGTGAAGTCACCTTTGTCACAGGCCTTAAGAGCAGATGTTGACGACGCTGTACGAGTATACCAAGCTCGTCTGTAGCACAAAGGCCCTCTCGTGCGACTCCTGGGATCCAGCTCGACCTTCATGTTAAGTGTGTTAATGTACACACTGAACGAAACCACATTCAAAAGTCAGGACCAAGGGCAGAGCCAATCACGAGAGGCAGGCAGGAAACGCGTCTTGGAAGGTCTATAGGTCAGTAAACCTGGACGGCATAGCTCTAAGCAGACAACTTCGGTACTCGGTGGCGCGGTGCCTAAGGCACATGACTGCAAACCGGAAGGCTGGCAGTTCAGACCCACCAGCCACTCCACAGAAGGAAGACTAGGCAATCTACTTCCGTAGAGATACTGCCTCGGAAACCCAAGGCGGGATCACTACGAGTCAGATCCGACTCAGTGGCAGTGAGTGAGTAAATCTTTATGAGGGGAGCTCTGCTGGGGCAATGCCTAAGGCATCTGACTGCTAACCAGAAGGCCAGCAGTTCAAACCCACCAGCCAAGGAAGGCTGGGCTATCTACTTCCATAGTGATACTGCCTCAGAAACCCAAAGAGGGTTGCTACGAGTCAGAACTGACTCAACGGCAGTGAGTTTGGTTTTTTTTGGTGTTGCTATCAAATGGCACCACCTTCAGGGGAATGAAGAAAGAAATGGTGAATCCTAGACTGACTTCTGGGCCTATTCTGGACACACACCCCCAACCACATCATACAGCCTCAGGGGTCAGCATCCCCCATGGGAACCGGGCCAGACTTCTAGTAGAGAGGGTGCAGGGGAGCCACACGTGCAATTCCAGCCCCTTTACAAACCTCCCAAAAGTAACCCCGAGGGATTTCTGGTCAGAAGCAGAAACAGTGAGGAGGCTGGGGGGAGCCACTACTGACCTGCTCCTGGCATGATGGCGGGGCCTGGGCAACACCTTAGCATCGTGCCTGCCCCTGGCTGAGGCAGCAGGAGCCGGCATGCCTGAGCCAGGGGGCTCGGGCGGCAAACAGGTTCCACATGTGCCGGACAGCAGTGAGCGCCTCACGGAGCCTCCCCCTGATTCAGCCCTCCTCCCCACTGGGACCAAAGTCCAGAGTTACAAACCGCACACAGTGCCATCCAGCATGTCAGGTAGACAGGACCCAGCAATGTTGGGCTTGACGGGTAAGGACATTTCCAGACACGCGAGTCTCACAGCACATACGTTCTGAGCACTGCTCCTAAGAAGGTTCTAGAACAGGTACTCCACCAAAACCTGGGAATAACCCAGGAACAAAGGTCTCGTCCGATGCCAGAATGGGGAATCCATGCCAGGAGAGAGGAAGGGCTGTGGTAAGGGAGGCCCCAGGAGGGGAGCCATGCACATCCCAGGAGTGGAGACCCACAGTCAGACCAGGCAGCTGGATCCAGGAGGGCTGCTGGAGAGACTGCCGGCCCACAGAAGCAGGACGAGTGCAGGGGCAGGGCAGTACTTCTCACTAAGCAAATGAAAGAAAGACGACCGCAAACAAAACACAGGCAAGAAAGGGGAAGCAGTGAGAGTGCAGGCGTGACGGCCCAGCTCTGGACTGCACGCACAGCCACACAGCACCGACACGGACCCGGGCCACACGGCCAGGCTCTCGGCACGCCAAGCCCCACGGGAGCAGCCCTGCGACTGTGCACGTTGTCGTCCATGCACAGGTGCCAGACAGAAACAGCTGAGACGGGAAAGAACTGCCTGCAGAGATGGGGTGTGCACAGCACATGAGATGGCTCTGGTTAAAAAGTAAACCTTCCAAGAAAAAACATGGCACTAACATAGATACAGCATCTGGGGATTTAAGAAAAAATGGTACAACTGTTTCTTGGTTGTTTTATAGTTCTTTTTACATCACTGAAACTGCAGTCTAGTAGGTGTTTCAAGGGGTCAAGGAATTACTTTACATGCCTTTTATCTGTAATAAATAAAACCTCTAATTAAAAAAAAAAGAAAAAAGTTTAAGATTTTCCAATTTCCCAGCATGAATTCGAAAATGCTACAAATAACAAAACTGGTAACATCTGGAATCTGTTCCTGACACACGATTTGACTTCAGCCACTGCCATGGAGTTGATTCCTACCCACACACAGTGCCCCTAGAGGACAGAGTGGAACTGCCCACAGGGTCTCCAAGGCTGTCAGTCTTCACAGAAGCAAAGGCCAAACCACACCCACTGCCGTGGAGTCCATTCCGACCCACAGCGCCCCTAGAGGACAGAGTGGAACTGCCCACAGGGTCTCCAAGGCTGTCATCTTTATGGAAGCCAAATGCCTCATCTCTGCCCCGTGGAGTGGTTGGTGGGTTCCAGCCGCCAACCTTATGCGTTAAGCACTGCACCCCCCGGGCTTCTTCTGGGCAGCAGAGCTACTGCTGATTCCTTCATTACTCCATCCCCTGCAGCTGTGATGAAAGCGCCAGGCCTTCGCCATGCCCACCAACACTTGGTATGGCTTCTACTTCCTCCATTCTAACTAGCTGTAGTAGCATCTCACCATGGTTTTGATTTGTGTTGCCTGGCGACTAAGGATGTTAAACATTTCCTCATATGCTTATCTGCCATCCACAAAGCCTCCTTGGTGAGGGGTCTGTTCAAATCTTCAGCTCACATTTCACTGGGTTGTTTCTAAATGTGGACTCTCCTCTGTCCCTCTGGTTTGAACCCATCCCTCCACCACACCATGGTCTCTAAACGTGGACTCTCCTCTGTCCCTCGGGTGTAAACCTATGCCCCCCCACATCATGGTCTCTTGATGGCTATCACTGCATCTTCTGCAGTGTGAGTCTTCTTTTCAAAATTGTTTTCGCTACTCTAGTTCTTTCTCCATAAATTTTTGAGTCACGTTGATTTCTTAAAAAGCAAACAAACATGTCACTGGGAATTTTGTGGTGCTTTAAATCTAGGGATGGATTTTGGAGGAAGCGACATCTCACCATCTAGGGGCGTCTGAGTCAATCACTGCCCCACAGGACATGCCTCCAGTTCCTAGGTCTTCTGGGATTTCCTTAGTGTCACCATTTCACACGCATTAACGTCACAAATACTTTGTCACAGTTATACTGCACCTCCTGGTTGAGATTTTTCCAGGTGTTCGGATCTAGCTCAGAAGTGGCACTCCTGGGTACATGGACCTGCTGTCGTGACCCGGCCCTCTGACCCGCCGGCCCCAGCAGCTGTCTCGCGCGTTTCGGGAGTGTCCCATGGCCGTCGTCTGCAGGAAGCGCGTCTGTCTTTCCCTGCACTCTGACGGGCCTTTCCTTTTGCTTCCTCTTGCTGCACTGGCTGGAACCTCAGCGTGACGTGGAGCCTAAGCGTGAAAGCAGACATCCTCACCTTGTTCCTGACCTTGGTGGGGAGCACGTTTCTCACCACCACAGGAGGCTCCCTGAGGATCCGGTCTCGCCTAGAGGAGGCTTCTGTAGTTCCAGCCTGCTGAGAGGCTAGCCTGAGCGCGCTATCACGCACTCCTGTCAGATGCTATGTCCTCATCTACACAAATGACCTCACGAGAACACACAAACAGGTCGGGATACAGTCTGGAGGAGGTGCGGCCATTTTAACAGCCGAGTGCCAGGCCAACGAGGACGAGCCTGGGTGAGAAGGGAGGCTGAGAGAAGCCAGGGGCCCACTCTGCACAAAGAACAAGTGCTCGACAGCGCCAGGGACTGATGAGAAGGCCAGGCAGAAGGGGGCAGAAACTGCCCAGGGCTTCAGTGCCCTGGGGCCCAGTGGTGACTGTGATCAGAGTGACTTAGATCAAGAGTGGGAGGTAGTGGCAGGAGAACAGTCACCGGGGAGCTGGAAGAGGATGCGGAAAAGCTGCCAGTACAGACACCGGGTGTTCCCAATGATACGCTGAATCGTCTGCTTCACAGAACTAGTCGGACAACAGCTGGGCATAAAGGACCACAGTGAGCCACGAGGAGCAGGGACGTGACAGCTGTGATTGACTTGCTCTACAAGAGCCCCCCACTTAAAAGTGGACGGACATACGTCACTGCAGTGGCCTGACAAGCACGCACGGCAGAAGCTGTGCAAATGGGCCATGAGGTCTACAAAGAACGAGATGACCTTCACCTCCCTGCTCGTTCTAGCTGCCTCTGACCCTGCAGGCTCCCTCACCAAACGCAGTCTGGGCTGCAAGTACCTTGGGCTCATCAAGTGAGCCTTCAGAGAGAAACCAGCTGGACTGCTGGGGACTGGAGGACCACCACAGCCTTCAGCACAAACACCCCATAGTGGTGAGCATGTCAGGAAAAGAAAGCCTTCTCCGTGACTCAAGCTTTTACTTTAAATTCTGAAACATCTCAATGTGACCAACTCGGGTAGAAAACACTGTGTCTGCGTGTCTGGCCCTTGTGACAACTGTCACTGTGCACTGAAGCAGGAGGCTCTATGCTAACATAGCAAGCTCAGAGCTACCACTGGGCCTGGTTACAGCCTCTTCTGAGCTGGCAGTCTGCTTTTCGCACATGGATCCCTGTGTCTGCCCCCACCAGCCTGCTGCCCCACCCCTTCCTGGTCCCCATTCCCTCCTCCCCCAAGGAGCCTGTCTGCCATAGCGCGTGGCTTTACTAAAAGACTGCTGGAAGTCATGTGGTGCAAAGTCCCCATACCTCATGCTGAACAACACAGTTTTCCCTGCCACAAACACCTAGGCTGAGAACAGAGGCCAGTACAGGCCCCTGCTGTGGCACTTGCCAGGCATACACCTGAGTAAGTGGCCCTCACTGGCGGCTTCAGGGGACACCCTGTCAACTGCTCTAGATGCTCACTGCCACGTGCCAACCACCCCTGACAGGAAGGAGTCAGGTCCATCTGCTTCTGCGGAGGCCACAGACGGCCAGGTTGCTCACACCACCTGTCTTGGGGCGAAGGGAGCCACTGGGGCGTCTCTCCAGACCCCTGGGAGGCCGGCTGTGCGCTGGATCCGGAAGGCACTCAGGTTGCTGAGGCCAGCCTGGGCGCTACGGTTCCCAGTCCCTGCACACTGTTCCCACAGCCTCCCACACCTAAGGCAACCGAGTCTTCTCCTCATGCTTTGAAAACACAAGCTCACAGTGTAACACTCATTCTCACAGCGCAGCACCTCCGACTGTAACGGGGGTTAACCCCTTCAGCGGTGGAAGTACCCGCAGTGTTCTGACGTGGCCTCCGTCTCTGAGAAGCAAGTCAACTACACACAGCAGACACAGACGGGACAAAGCAGCGTTTCGTTCCCACGCCCGTCCCCCCGTAATTCTGCGGGCAGACGCCGACAAGGGACTCAATGATGCATCTAGCACATGAGACACAGCCAGGCATGTGGCATGTGACACGACCCTGACCGTGACTGGGCACGCCAGCCAGGTGTCCCTCCGCCTCTTTTGCAGCTAAGTAGGACCAAGAAACCACACCCTGGCCATTCATAAGCAGCACTGTCTAATGGCTATTTCCAGTCACACTGTTTAAGCAGTCTCCCCCACCCCCCCACCCCTGTAGTCTTGCTGCCTGGGATGCAAATGAGAAGGCTGGAGCCTTGGCTGCCAAGCTGGCTCCTGAGCCTGGGGGTGGCACAGCAGTCACTGCAGGAGTGGAGTCAGGGTCCCTTGGTCTTCACGGAGCACAGCTGCACTCCTGACAGGCAGCCCTGGGCTGCCTCCCTGAAGACCTTGACGTAGGAGAGGAGCCAGATTCAGCGTTGTACGTCCCTGACCTGCTCTCCACATGCAGCGTGGGCCTCACTGTTCGCAGCTGCCTCCCTCGTCCAGCTCCGTGACAACGACCAGCCCTGGGCACCCTGCACAGACCAGGAGCCGCACGTGGGGAGAAGAGGCGGGCTCCGTGTTTAGGCAGACGCCACACTCCAGCCGCCGTGCTGAGCACCCCAAGGTCTGTCCCACCTAATACCCTCCTTTCTCAGTGGAGATGTGGGCGTGGACACATCAGCCCCACCCCAAGCGCCGCGCTCACAAAGGGAGGGAAAGACAACGCAATAGTGACCCCCAGGCTGGTCCAGAGTCCACTTCCCCTTCCCCTTCGAGAGGCAGGCAGGGAGCAGCCACCAGGCCACAACCCACATCCCTCAGTGTGGAGACTGGCTGCTAACAGAACCCAGACCCGCTCTGCTACCTCCCCCAGCACTGGGCACAGGGCTTGGGAAACAGCACCACTGTTAAATAACAGTATCTACGGGTGGCGACTACTTTCTTCCTATCCTTAGAGGAGAGAAGGCAACAAGAGAAAATGAAAACAACTGAGCATCTTACCTCCAAGGAACATTCAACATTTCTTTCATTTTTTGTGTGTGATAATCCCTTCAGGTCTATCTTTTCAACACTCACTGTAAAAGTAAAAACACAGAATTACAAGAAGGAAATGAACACCCGAGGGGCACGGCACCATCGGCGTGTGACATGTTAGCTGTTTTCACACAAGGCTGTTGGCACTCATGGTGGCCAGTGGCTTCCATGGGGCCTTGTCCTCATCTGGGACAGAAACCTGGCTGCGAGGCTAACATTCAGGCCCGGTGGGAAATTCAGAAATAAAATGGAAAACACAAGCAAGAAAACAAAAACAAAGCGTGGAGAAGGGAGGGAAGAAAACGGCGCTTGAAAAGAGAACCCCAGCATGCGGGAAAGCGCAGGAGGCCCGACTTGCATCCCAGCCGACACCTGCGCACATCTCCCACGTCCACCCCAAAGGTTAGGAGGTGCTCCTGATTCATCAGACGCTACGCCCACACACTCGGTGGGCAATTCTCAGAGCACAGGTGCCCAAGCGGTCTCTTGTCTGTGTCTCCTTGTCATCAGACAGCACTTTCTCCCTTCACAATAGGGCACCTGCCATGAAGGAAAAAGAGCCTGGTCACAAGGTCTGTGAAGAGCCGTCACACGAGGTGGAGGCCAATGATACCAGCTCTCAGAAGGCAGTTCACAGGGTGTGCACAACACACATGCACAGTCTCCTACAGGCTGCAATCTTCCCCAGGCAGCCTGAACTGCCTCATGTGTTACACCTTTAGGAGGAGGCTGGAAATAAGAAAAAGCAGCTCTGGTGGTGCAGGGGTTAAAGCACTTGGCGGCGAACCAAAAGGCTGGTGGCTTGAACGCACCAGCCGCTCTGCAGGAAGATAAGGGAGGCTGTTTCCGTAAAGACTCACAGCCTTGAAAATGCCACGGCGCGGTTCTACTCCGTCCTCTAGGGGCGCTATGAGTTGGAATCGACTCAATGGCAGTAGGATTTTACAAAGAAAAAGGAAAGGGGATAAAGTTGAGAAGCCACTACTTGGTTTAATTTCTTTGTATTTAAACGCAACAAGAGAAAATGACAGCATTGAATCACAGGTGCTCAGGAGAAGCTAATCCCACGTGGCCCCTCGCGGGCCCTTGGAGCATCTGTCTGTGTTCATTTGGAAAGCCTCTGCACCCTACGAGGGTGGACTGGCTGCAATCTATGGGAGCCACTCGCTGGGCCTGGATCTGCCGCAGTACTGCTGGGGTGGGTTTGAACAGGCAACTGTTGGGTTACCAGCCAAGCACAGACCATCGGGGCCACCCAGGCAGGGACCCTTCTCAGTGGGCTCTTAACTAAAGGAATCCGTGAGTGCAGAGATGGACCAGGGCTGTGCCTTCCTCCCAGGTGCATGCACAGCCCTCGCCAACTGTCTGGGGACTGTGCTGTACGGCTGTGCGCGGGCTAACCAAGGACCAACACTCCGCCCTCACTGAGACCCCTACTTGGCACTGGCTGGCCCTTGTCGTATCCCTCACACCCAGCACGTGCCAGACGTCACCCCTGAGCTGTACTACCTTTCTGAATCTGCTGGCATACTCTAGCAATGACCTCTGCCCTTTGCTAGTAAAGGCCATTAATCACACGAGAGAGTTACAGTCACCGCACTTTCAGACATGAGAGAGGACAGAAGCAGGAAAGAGACGAGAACCTGGACAGCCAAGTGCAATGTCACTGAGCCACACGGGAGGCACTGGAGCCCACATCCAGCTCAGGAACCAGACAGCAGACCCGAGTGACTGCTCGTGCAGAACCATGACAGGTGCTGGACCTAGACGACAGCTCTCCCAGCTCCTCTGCAGCTGTGACAGGCTCAGGTGAGAGGGATGGGCACCCCAAGTGAGACTCCTGGAGGAGAGGGGCCCACCCTCTGGACAAGCAGCTGGAGCCGAGCGCTGAGGAGGCAGATGACCAGGCAGAAGGGGCGCCGACACCCAGGGGCTCACCGGCCGGCCTTCTTCCCCTGGGCTTCACCACTCTCCTCCAAGTGGGCACAGCATGTGACTCCTCTGGTCAGGGGTCATGGAGCAGAACAGCACCCGTCTGTCCGGGCTGCAAACACACCCTGGTGGGGGCAGATTTAGGCCACCGCTGCCCTGAAGACGCACAGACGGCAACCCACGGAGACCATGGGAACGGCACGGCTCTGGGTGTCCTCCCTGAGCAGGATGGGGGACACAGCCAGCCATGCTCAATGTCTGACTCAACGCCCAGTCGAAGCTCCCTGAGGACCAAAGACCCCAAGCCTTGTTCCATGTGCTTCCTGGCCACCCACATCTCTGCGTGGTAACATACCTCCAATCTCTAACCCACTGTTGAATCGGGGTTTCTTCTTGTGAGTGAACTGCAGGAGCTCTTCATGCGTCTGGACGCAGATTCTGTACCAGACACGCCTGGCAAACAGCACGTCCAGTCTGGGGCTCGTCTTTCCTTCCGGTTTGCAATCGTGATGAAGCCCAAGTCTCATGCCGCACATCCCGATCCCCGCCCCACCCGCTGTCCCGGACGCCCTCCATGCTGCCCTCCAGATGCTCTCCCGTGGCTCTAGAGCCGTTCCGAGTGAAGCGCTGAATGCATTCGACATAAGACACCCCTTGCGGATTTCCAGTCACGACCCCCGTCTAGCGCCATTCGCGGTGGGATGGAGTCACACCTCAGTGTGTGACACGTGGCCCCCGCAGGGCAGCAGATGAAGAATCAGAGCACCCTTCTCCTGGGCGCGTGCTTCTGCCAACTCATCCTCAACGTCGGCTCACCCTGTCCCAACCCAAGCCCCACTCCTCCACAGAGAGGAGCTGGCTCAGTGGACCCCGTCTCTGGTCTTGGCATTTCCTTGCATTGTCCACGTAACAGCAAGCCTGCAGCAGAGCTGAGCAAGGGCCCTGGCCCGATTCACAGCTGGGGCTGCACGAGGCCACTCCAAGTGAACACGGCCCGGGACCAGAGCAAACACGCAACACAACCCCTGCGGTGTCACTCAGGTCTCACAGGCACCTCGCGGAGAGGGGGACGCGCGAGAAACTGTGTATCACCTCGGAATGCCTGGGATTGGTCTGAGTTAGACCCCAAGCCAAGGAGCCACCTCCACAGTCCTGTGCAGAGGGGCCACAGGTCCTGAGAGTCTCCTTGTGAGCCTCGGCCAATGGCCCTTCACAGAGACCAGGACATGTCACCCTGAGCACACCTGCGTGCATGCAAGGAGGGGCTTACGGCAAGTGCTGGCATGCCCTCAGAATGGAAGCAGGAGCAAGACCCTGCCTTCAAGGGAGACTTCAGGACCCACAAAGTCCCAGATGAAGCCCTAGGTGTGTGTGGGGTGCGGGTGGGCTGTACATTTCAACAAATGCCACCAAGAAACTGAGTTCAACATGACATCATACTAACAACTACGGAAAAACTCCCCAATTTTCTGAGAAGGTGGATCTGTGGGCTTGGGAGCTTAGTTGCAGGGGACACCAACCTCAATTGGCATAACATCTACGCAAAAACATTGTTCCACATCCTACTTTGGCAAGTAGCTACTGGGGTCTTAAAAGCTTGCAAGAGGCCATCTAGATGTAACGATGGGTCTCTCCTCATCCAGAGCAAAGAAGAATGAAGAAAAGTCCAAGAGACTGGTTGACCATGCGATCCTCAGCCTATATGACCATGAAGACCAGAAGAACTAGATGGTGCTATGACCACCAACCACTCAGAAGGGGATTGGTGCAGGAGATAATGGAGAGAGTGGGAGAACAATGTAGAACAAAACTCAAAATTATAGTAAAAGACCATCAGGTCTGATGGAGCCTGGCAGGACCCCCGAGATTATGGCCCCTAGCTGCCCTTCAGGTTTAGAACTGAACTCACTCCTGTGGCTTCCAGCCAAACAATGGACAGGCACATGGGGTGAACATTTATACACTCCTTAAAGCAATCAATCTGAGAGAACAGAAGGGCAATATTTATTTGCACAGGGAGACAGATCAGAGGGTAGGAATGCACAGGAGGTAAGGACACAGGGAAAAGGGAACTACAGGGAGGAAGTGGGAAGAGAGCTGTTATACCATGGGATTTGCAGTCAAAGTCATGAAACAAAATATGTATGAGCTGCTGTATGGAAAGTGAATTTACTCTGTAAACTTTCACCCAAATCACAATACAAATTAGAAAAAAAAAATCCTTACAACCAGACTAATAAGTAACATCAAGATAATAAACAGAGACAGGATTGAAGTTGTCAGGGATTTTGTTTTACTTGGATCCACAATCAACACCCATGGAAGCAGCAGTCAAAAAATCAAACATATTGCACTGGGCAGCTTTGCTGCAAGAGACCTCTTTGAATTGTTAATAAGCAAAGATGTCGTTTTGAGGATTAAAGTTTATGTGACCCAAGCCATGGTCTTTTCAATAACCCCAACATGCATGTGAGAGCTGGACAGTGAATAAGGAAAGCGGAAGAAGAGTTGATGCCTTTGAAGTGCGGTGCCACAGGAGAGGACTGCGTATACCCTGGACTGCCAGAAGAGTGGACATGTCTGCCTTGTAAGACGTCCAGCCAGGACACCCCTTGAGAAAGACGTCTTGCCTGGTGAAGTACAAGGTCAGCAAAAGAGAAGACGCCCCTCAAGGGGATGGACTGATGCCACAGTGGCTGCCAGCAAAGGGCTCAACCACAGCAAGGACTGTGGGGCTGGCGCAGGCCTGGGCAAGTTTCCCTGCACTGCACACGGGGTCGCAGTGAGTCGGGGCCAGCTCAAAGGCACTTCATGACAGCACGATGCTCAAGACAGCACCTTACAAATTACTTGACAAATCAGAAGCAGTGGTGACCCCTCTGGCCAAGCGAAGCTAGTGGTGTCCCCAGGTCACACTCTTCACCTATTGGAACCCCTCGGGGGGCCCTCTTGCTTCCCGTCACACTCTGTCAGCAAATGAACGGCTTCCATGTTTTTCCAAACCAATACTTTTTTAAACTTGCCCACAATGACATCACTCTCATTCCTATCTTTTGGGTTTTTAAACAATAGCGTTTACAACATCAATGAACACAGAAAAACACAGTCA